AAAAAAACAAGAGAATATGAGTGAAGCAGATTTCTTGAATTACAAGTAGAAGTTTAAGACTAAAATGGGTGTTCCCCTTACTCCATACAAAAAAGAATTAAAAAAGAAATCTTTAGCAATTATTGAATATATATAATTGTTATAAATCTTTCAATAAAGCAGATATAAGGTATCAAGATAATATCATCTAGTTAAGTAGTAATTTCTGAAAGAGAGAGATTGTTATATTTAACTAGTTATTCATCTCAGGTAGAAGGGTTTTTGTTGTCTCTTACAATAAGTGTAGAAAAAAATTCAAATAAAAAATTAATACTTTGATACTTAAATCATATAAAGGAATTTTTGTGTTGTGTGATTTTGGATGAAAGGATTTAAATAACATATATTCTATATAAAAAGAGTTTTTGGATTATGGTGAGATGGTCCCAGTTCTGATTTATATACCTGGTCTCAGAAAAATTAATTATTCCACATTTTATATAAGTGCTTCTGATATATGGAGTAAGGTAAGTTAACCATTTTTGTGTTACATGATTTTAATCAAAATGCAATCGGAATAGCTTTCACTAAAATTTTGGAACAGCAATTACCTAATATATTATATATATTTTTGAAACAGCAATCACTTAATATATCACGTATGTTTTTGAGACAACAATCACTTAACATATCATATATATTTTTGGGACAACAATTGCTTATCAAAATCTCAATACAGAAAAAAAGAATTTCAAATTAAATAAACATTTTTAAAATGTGTGATTGCTGACCTAACAATTTTTTTTCACATTAAGAATTTTTTTATACCTATAACCAACATACCATTTCTATATCAAGCCTTTTTGCCTACCCCTTTTCATCATATAAAAACAAAAAACAGATATACTTATTACAATACTTTGGTGGATCACCAGGTAAGGATAACAATTTAGCACTATGTGCCTTATCCTCAGGTAATATAATAGATAACAATTCAATACTGCGTACCTTATCCTTAATCAGTATTCAAGTGCATTATGTAAAAGATTACAAATACTATTTTGACATTACGTGACTCAACTCTGGCCCTTATAGAGGAATTAATCAGAAAGCTAAAGGCACTACGTATCCAGTTCAAGCATAGCTCTCATATCGAACTTGCAAATGACAACATGTAATGAGGCCAACCCAGTTACATAACTTATTTCAGTTATTTTATTGCAATGGAAATCAGCTATGATTACCAAACCAGCATACAAGTAACATTATTGAATTTGGATTATAATAGAAAACACAGAGTAACTAGGGAACCTTATCATAACTTAACTCTTCACCTCTTTCTAAAGGGAATTGATTGAAAACATTAAGCTAATATACAAGTTAAGACATGAGGTATCCAGGTGTGGCAACAGAAATTAATCACAATTGTCATTTGTATGACATGAGAAAAAGAAATTGCACATTAGCCATGGCACATGTTTTAATGGCTCTCAATTGACATTACAAATGTGATTTACACGTCATATATATTTTTTTAGATTATACCAGGTTATCTGTGCAGCCTAAAAAATAAAATGCATGTTATTTGAGTCATACATTTTTTAGGTTATACCAGGTTATCTGTGTGGTTTAAAAAATGAAACACATGTTATTCGAATACAGCCTAAAAAATGAAATGTACATCATTTAAATATAGCCTAAAAAATGAAACTCACGTCACAGATGACCTGATATAACCTAGACTAACTGAAAATAATATAATTATATTATTTCCAGTCATAGCATCTCAGGTTAAGAAAAATGTCAAATAAACATAACTTTCAATCTTTCTTTTGGAAAAGAAGAATGTTATAATAATTACAAATAAATTTTTTTCAAATATATAGTACAAATATGTTTCATATATCATATTTAATATAAAAATTATGAATTTGTGCATGCCAAATTAGTATGAATGTAAGAGAAACAATTTATACATGACAAAGACTGCTACTGCTGCAATTCTTGATAAGAATTATAACTTGCAACTCCTCCCATTTCCTTTTTTGAATTATGGTAGATATCTTTAACAAAGACATTATTTTTTATATTGCACTGGAATATCTTTAATATAAATAACATATATTGATACAGATGTTTTATGTCATGAATTTGATGTAATCACAAACTGAATGGTCTCTTTTTGCTTTCCATACAATCATTTATTGTTAAAAACATATATAATAAACTTCAAATCTTGCGAGTGCATAATATGTTCAACAAAAAAAAATCAAGGTTCTTGTTCTACATTATTTAAGTATTCTTATTTTATACATAAGTGATGAAAACATAAAAGCAATAATGTGTAAACCCTGATAAAGATTATAAACACTTACACCTCCCCAGGCATTCTCATGATGTCATCATTCTGTCAAGTTTGAATACTCCATCTATTAAGTTGACCCACGACCTCTGCAATAGTAACTAGTTTATGGCCCGTGGTATTGGAATTTTTGTGTTGATCTTGAAGAGGTTAACGAATTTCTTTCTACTGCCAAAATGTATAACTTGAGCCATTTGATAATGGACTTGACCTCTTTGCAAGGAAAACACTCAGTAAAGAAAATCCAAGCAGTAGGAAAAACTAAAAGGTAGTAGAAGAAGCTTAATTTATTTGCATAATCTGAGAAGTGAGTTCAATCTGACAGATATTGCAATATGAATTATTGGCAGACGGGACAAGGTGGCTATTTTAACATTTGTTATATAAAAATAATATTTATTTTTTAAAACATTTAATGTTATAGGAAATAGTTTTCTAATTCACATATTAAATCGATATAAATTGAAAATACCATTTTCATTTAATTATTTAATTTCATACAAACATAATAACTCTATACTTAGTGCTAAAGACTTTATAAAATATAAATTATAAGATTAAATAAAGTTTTAGTATTGTTAACTATTGTGGTATTTCTTTTTTAATATTATTATTCTACAGTGATTCCGGTTTTTGCATAAAATGAATTAAGTCAATAATTGTACCTGAATAAATATTATTTTATTTAATAACTAACTTCTTCAATAGTATCAATACGACGTATTATAATTTGTTTATTCTTAAATATCGAATTATTTTCTTCTTATACTGTACTGCATAGTAATTCGTATTTATAATAGTAATATATATATATATTATTTTAAGATTTTCTAATAATTTTAAATATTTCAATATCGACAATTGACAACATTAATGATGATGATGGTGTTTTTATCACTTTTTATAATTATTTCTATGATTTATGTAACAGTAACTAACATTATCTGCACTACGCAGATAAAAATCAGCAAAATGTGAACCAAATTCTTTTTGCAAGTTTTTGGATACATTATAAAATAAACTTTTGGAATCTTTTACTCTGCTAAGAATTGAATTTTAAAAATTGATATTTTTCAATGAGAAAATGAAACTATCAATTGATTTCTCAAAATAATTATTAATATAAGTATTATTCCATGTTAAAGGATTATAACCCTCCAATGATTTCATCTGTTTTATTAATTTTATTATCACAACTGTACCTCTATGACCGTGGCAGTATTCCAAAATGTTTGTGGAGCAAATCCATCTTTAGTTCCACGTAAAATTAATTCAAATTTATATGGAACATTTGTTTGTTGAATAAGTAGTTGTTCTACGATCAATCTAACTAAAAATTTCTGCGACATGTTCTTCAGAAATGATAGTTGAAAAAGATTCTTTTGGTTCATTTATACGAGAAGGTAATTCTGTGACCAAAACTGATCTCGCTGGTAAAATAATTGATTTTACTGAACGTTCAGGAACTATCAGATGCTGATTAATATCTTTACAAAGTTATTTATCGAGGATTTTTTTTTTGTAAGGTTTAATTTTATCATAAATTTCATCATTTGAGATATGAAAGTAACGAATAAATGATAGGCATTGTTATAAAGTAGTTTTTAATGTAAGAAAATTTTCTTTTCTCCATTCTTCAAGGTTTGTAGGAAGAGTAGGATTCTTAGAAATTCCCCACTTGATGACACATTCCCAAATTTTAATTTCTTCCATTTGCAAATCATCTCGATTGAGAAGAGATACTAAGAGTTGGATACTTGACAACAATATCATTACAAAAATTTTCTAATTTTTTATAGTTATTTTTATTAAAAATCAAATGATAAATAAGGGAAAAGTGTGTTCTTAACCAAGAGCCTTTAGTATCAATGAGAAAAGTTTCTAATTTGTTGGTTAATTCCTCGAGTTCAAATTCATCAGCAGTTAACATTAAATCAAAAATAAATCTAGTTTCAACATTTTCCAAATTAACAATTCCTCCATAAATATAACTTGATAAATATGAATCAATAAATAATTTGTAAGAGAATTTTATAAAAATAAAAAATAATAATAAAGTAAATTATGATATAAGTAATAATAATAATTTTATAACTTACTTAAGAATAACATCGAAAATTGAATAAGATATACTTGGCTTGGAAATTATTTTGATATTATTCTCATTTGGCTGAATATTTTCTAATTCTTTATGAAAATAAGATGCTCGATATTTCAATATATTAGAATGCTGTAAATGATTTTTCCTTATTTTTAACTTCAATGATTACATTATAATAATGTCTAATTTATGTGATTGTTGGTATGACAAACACAATATAGATTGATATTCATTATGTATAAGTAAAGGGAATTTTCAAATTTTTTTTTAATAAATATTTTTTTATATAAATTTTATGAAATCGTTTACGATTATGTTTATGTTAATGAATATATTTATTAACAGCTGCATGATTACTTCGTTACATAAAGGGTTAAATAATACAAAATTTTATATGTTCTCTAAAATAAAGAATTGGGATGAAAAATTCTACAAAAAATGTTTTTTTCTTACTAATATTACAAAGGATGAGTAAGGAATAGATAAAAATATATAAAATAAAAGTAATAAAAATATGAAAATATGAAAAGCATGAAAAGTGTGAAAAAATTTACAAAACTATTTCTTTCCAATAAAAATACAATTCAAATACAATTTCTTTAAAATAAAAATATAAAAATATAAAAATACAATTTCTTTTTTTTTTTTTTTTAGCTTCCAACCTCAATAACTGTAGTAACTGTAGGTACGATAATATGATTATTTTTTTCAACTTCAAATGATTTTGAAAGAATCAATTTTTCAACTTGATTTGATTTTGAATCTGGAATAATTTCATCATCAATTGTGACATCTGATTCTTCTTCAAATTCTGAAGATAATGATGATGATGATGATGATGATTCATCTTCTATTAAAATAGATTCATTATCAATATTTTCATCATCATAATTAACTACTTCTTCAATAATTTCATTATCAATATCATCATCATCATTTAATGACATAACATCCCAATTTTCACGATTCCAATATTGTTCAATAAAAGTTACAATATTTAATATCGGAGGTGTTTTTTTGTGTTCTTCATTAATTTTTTTTCCTAATTGTTCAGCTAAATCATGTATCTTGTCATCCGTTAATACTTCACTTATGGATTTGTATAAGGTTTCAGCATTTAAAGAACGGACTTCTAAACCTCCATTGGGAGATACACCTAAACGATGTAAAATCGATGCCCACCATGGTTGATCTGCGAAATGGGGGACCTAGAAATAATAATTAAAAAATAAACATAATAATAATTAGAGATAGAGATAGATAATGAGAAAATGAAAGCAATAAAGTGAAAGAGAAAATAAAGATATTTTACCACTACGGATGGTATTCCTGCTCTGGTGACAGCATGTGTTGTACCAGCACCTCCATGATGAACTACACAAACAACTCGTGTAAAAAGCCAAGCATGAGGTACGTGACCGATAAGATAAACACGACCGGATCTTGCGGCATTTCGTAATTCCGGTAAATGAACACTATTATACATTATAATAATTTATTACAAAAAATAAATAAATAAATTACTTTAATGATAATAAAGGAGAGAGAAATATGAGAAAATTTTAAATTTTCATTACTCGTTAACACCAGAAAATATAGCTCGATGTGCTTCGGGTAATAAATCCATTACTTGTAACCATAATCGTGCTCTACTTTCAGCATTACCAAAACTACCCATTGATCCATATCCAAAATAAATTGGTTTATTTCCATTATTTAACCAATTTGTCTATATATACACATAGAGAGAGAGAAAGAGAGAATTAATGATTAATTATAATTCGGAATTTGTTTTATTGTATTGTTAAAAACAATAATTATATTTACCAAATCTTCTGGTGGAACATATCCTGATATTTCTTCCTCAACCGTCATATACGGATAATCGATTTGTACCTCTAGTGGATTTTTTCTATTAAAAAAAATGAGAAAATAAATATATATATATATATATATTAAATTATATAAAAAAAATATTAAAAAAAAGATTATTATTAAAAAAAAATTCTTACGGATTTGGAGAAATTTGAATAAGATTTTTATTAGAAGCGTGCAATACAGGAATATGATTCTTTTCTATCGCACCACCTGGTAAAAATGGAAGTCTAAATTTATATATGAAAAAAAAAAAATTATTAATTTATTTATTTATTTATTTATTTTTTTTTTTTTGAAATTCAAGAAATTCTCTTTAAAATAAACTTGCCTATCAACCGTTGATAAACCAAGATCTTTCATTCTTTGATTGTAAATCTTTTAGAAAATAAAGATTATTAAAATTAAATATTTATTTCTAATAAATTTAAATGTTAAAAAAAAATAAAAAAAAAATACATACTGGTAAAAGCCCACTAGATACCCAAAGAACAGCAATTTTATCGATGGTTTTCCATATTTTTGAACCTATGTTGAAAGGTAACCATTGTAATGAATCAAATGGTTGTCCATAACATGCCTATAAATAGTTATAACAATAGTAAAAAAAAATAATATTGCTTAAAAAATTTGTTTATCATAATAACGTTGTCATTCTTTTTTTTTTTAAAAAAAAAAAAATAATATAATTAAAATACAAACCCCAATAAAATCATCTGAACTTGCATATGGATAAAAACATATATAGGCAACTGGAATATTTCGAGAAAGGCACTAGAAATTTTAATAATTTATTTAAAATTTAATTAAAATAATGAATAAAGATAGAAATGAAAGAAAAAAGAAAGAAAGAGAAAAGAGAGGATATTTACTTCGGGATACATGTAATGTGATGCTGTACCCAATATAACAAAATCAACATCGAATAATACTTCTTTGGCGTCACTGTTTTTACATTATTTTTTTTTTTAATAAATAAAAAATTATTATTATTTTGTTTAAAGATATAAAAGAAAGAAAGGAATTTGAAATTTTTTTTTTATTTACTTGTACGATTTTAAAAATCCTTGTTTAAGGAAATTAATCATTGTTGGAGTTCCTAATACGGAATTTCTCGAATATTTTACCATCTTTCTTCCTATCATCATAATTAAAAAAAAATTTTTTGATATATTTATTAAAATCTTCGGGATTTTTATTTTATTTAAAATTAAATAAAATAAATGCTTTATGCTTTACCAGCTTCAGTGTATTGCCATTCATATTGCATATCCCACTATTATTACAAATTTAAAGTCAAATTAATTAAAATATAAGTCAGTTGCTTAAAAAAAATTTTATTTAACTTACCTTCATCTCTCTAAATTTTAATCCATTAGATTCGATAAGATTTTTAAATCGGGTGTTGGCGGCAATTATTACATTATATCCTCGACGACGAAATCCTACTCCTAAATTTACGAAAGGAAGTACATCTCCCATTGAACCAATTGCTAAAAAAAAAAAAATGAAGAAATAAATTTTTTCATTATATTTTATTTAATTTAATAAAATTACCAAAAAATTATTATTTTTTTTTTTTAAAAAAAAAGAAAAAAAAATTAGAATAATAATAATAATTAAAAGTGAGAATTGAAATAATACCCACCCAAAAATAAAATATTCTTTACAGTGGATTTTGATTTATCAAAAGACATGGTGAATAACTTGTGGGAATGAGAAACAATTAAACAATTGTATGATAATTTAAATAATTTAAATAATTTAGAGATGGATAATTTACAAATAATAATAATAAATAATACGAAAAAAATATTAATAAATATTAATTTTTATATGAAAATTTTTTTTTGTCAAAGGATTCCTAAAAAAATAATTATCAAAGCGCCAATTTAGTCGCCAATTTATATTTTTATATTTCGCGCTGATAATCGGTTACAAATGTATCACGTAGATCTGTTTTCAACTTTGACCCGATAATTTGGGTGCGACAAAAAAATCTGCAAGGGTCACTACTTGCATATGTCTTTTGGCTATTTGATTTACCAAAAATGTTTAATACCAAAAATACAAAGAATAAAAATAAATGTTATTTGTTGATTGAATCGAACAAAAAAATCGAATAAAGAATGGATACTAAATAGATTATAAAAAGTTTTTTTTTTTTTTTTTCTCTTTGAATATATACAACTAGGAGAAAGATAAAGAAATATTATATTTAGCCAACGGAATATTATAATTTTGAAACGAACAAAAGAATATTATGACGATTATGATAATTATGACGATTGTGATGATTATGTCGATTACGGAATTTATTTTGGTGGTTGGTTGATTATGACGAATTATTAATAAAAATAGTCACTAAAAATATGTAAATGATGTGTAGCACAGAAATATGTAAATGAGTAACCATTTTGGACCATTTATAGAGCTCAAAAATGTCCATGTGCAGACCCACGCTTGATAATTTGCGATAATTTTGATAAACTTTGCCTAGATAATATGGATAATATTGAATGTAATATATTTATAATAAAATGAATTGAATAAATCCCCCATTTCCCCAACAAAAAAATATATAATACCTTAAATATTTTACAACCCTTAATTAAACCAAAAAAGAAATATGATATTGCTGCAGTCACGGACATAAAATAATATGATAAAAAAAAAAAAAATAAAGAAAAATTATCAAAAAAATCTAGATTTGTTTCAAGTTATTTTCAGCCTCTCCTCTTAAAACGCACGCATTTACTGAAATAATTTCCCAAATTTTAAATTAAGAATGTACGAATAATCTAATCTTTACTAAATGAGTAATAATATTTCAATCTTTATTTTCTTTATTTCAGATTACTTTGTTACACTGCACCAAACCAAGTCAAACAATAACAACAAAGTGACAACAAATAATGAGTAACAATAGCAAAGTAACAAAAAAAAAAGAAAAAGAAAGAAAGAGAACGAACTTACAAAAATATTAACAATAATAACTGATAATGGTAATAATAATAACGAAAAAAAAAAAAAAAACGGTTTTTTTTTTTTTATCATGTTTCGAATTTGTTCGAATTATTTCTGAAACATAATCATTTTTTATTATTATCTGTTATCAAAATTTTTATTCAACGATTTTACATATGCCACGCATTGATAACTTTATTTTTGCTTATGTTATGTTATTATAATTTTTATATTGTAACCATATATAGTAAAAGTAAGGGGTTTTACCATAAAATGTAACTTTTCAATCCATTTATCTTTTATGACGTTATTTTGCGGTTCATTACATTATTGTTATTATTGTTATATAATCACTATCACTATTGCACATTGTAATAAGGAGAGGGAGAAAACGAATTTTTATTCTGTAGATTCGGTAGGTCAAAATTAATTTTTTTTTTTTTTTTTTTTTGGAATGAATGGATTAGTAATCAGATATTATTTATATTATTAAAAAAATGTGACTGATGGAAATTAAAAAATTCTTTGACACTTAATAAACAAATGACGACTTGTATAACACGTATGACGTATATAATTAAAGCCATAATTTTTTTTTTAATTTTTAGTAAATAATTTTTTAAAATTTAATTTAAAATTCTTCTCCATTTGGACTTTATGCGTACTTTTATTTATTTATTAATTTCTATTATTTATAAAGTATAAAGTGGGAAACAATGATTTAACTTCCTAATAGCTAAATTCATTTAAAAAGAATGAAAATATAGATATAAATATAAAAAAAAAATATAAACACAGAGATAGATATAAATATATATATATAGAAATATATAGAAATTGATCTAGATATAAATTTGAATCCTTTTTTTCCATTGACATTATTTATATTTTCATTTACACCTTTGTAATCTTTTAATTTTATCAAGTTGTAGTAATTTGAAGCGATTTGTAGTACAATTGTAGCAATTTCATTTTTAATATAAAATAATATAAAACTTGTACAAAATGTCAAAAAAAAAAATCATAAGAATAATGCTAACTGCTAATTTTAATTTTTTAATTCAATAAAAATTTTAGATTATGTATATATATATATTTTATTTCCAAATTTATACAGTTGAAAAAATAATTAATCAGATTAAAGTTATTGAAGATAACAAAAATTTCGATCATTTTTCTATACCCTTTTCTTTTTTTTTTCTTTCCATTTCTTGCCCTCAAAAAAAAAAAAAAAAAAAAAAAAAAAGGAAAAAAAAAAAAAAAAAAAAAAAAAAAAAAAAAAAAAAAAAAAAAAAAAAAAAAAAGAAAAAAAAAGGAAAAAAAAAAAAGAAAAAAAAAAAAAGGTTGGTAATTCATATATGTGATTTTAAACTTTTTTTGTTTTTTTTTTGTTTTTTGTCACATTGGCGATATGTCACATGGAATAGTTTATTGGAAATTCAGATTCAGAGACAAAAATTTTGATACCCTTTCACACCTGCCAAATATTGATTTTATATTTCTTAGCTTATGAAAAAATGTTGCGGATTTATTATATTGATAAAATTAATTTTTGATTATAATTTTTATATTTTCATTACTAGATTTTATTATTAGTTCTAAATGCATGGATCAGAAAATTTTCAATGTTGGATCCTACATTACGAATATTAATCGTAAAGGTACAATAAGAAAAATAACACGTATTCACATAACCAACCCTTTTAATTTTACCAACTACTTCCGCACTTCATCATATTCCACAAAATCCAATAACATTGACAATACTGATAATACCGAAAATACCGATAATACTGATAATACTGATAATACCAAAAATACCAATAATACGGATTTCCCCACTCTTTCTCATGTTGATTCTATAAGTGGACGTGCTTCAATGGTAAATGTTTCAACCAAACCTTCAACCATTCGTACTGCAGTTGCCATAGGAAAAATTAGAATTGGTTGTGAAGCATTTAAGCTTGTTTATGCCAATTCAATGAAAAAAGGTGATGTCTTAACAGTTTCTCAGATTGCAGGAATTAATGGAGCTAAACAGACTGGATATATTATTCCCCTTTGTCATCCTTTATTACTTTCTCATATCTCAGTTGATTTAAGATTAGAAGAAAGTGATTATTCAATTGAAATTATATCAAAAGTTGAATGTGAAGGCAAAACTGGGGTGGAAATGGAAGCACTTACTGCAGTTAGTATCGCAGCTTTAACGGTTTTTGACATGTGTAAATCGGTTACTAAAAATATGGTAATTGAAAATTTGCGAGTTATTCACAAAACTGGTGGAAAAAGTGGTAATTGGAGTTATAAATAATATATTATTAGAGTTATATTATTATTAGAGTTATATTATTATTGGAGTTACATTATTATTAGAGTTATTTATTATTAGAGTTATGTTATAATTCGGATCAAACAGTTTAATCCAATCCTAAATTATTTTATTTTATAATATTATATAATTTTTTTTTTGTACAATATATAAGTTCTAAGATTTTTCAAATTAATAATTAAGGTTAGATAGTTTAAATCAATACTAAATTGTTTCAAACTATTTAACACAGGTCAAAAGTTCAAAAATCATTCTTATTTTATAAATTTTTTTATTGCTGATTAATGATATTAATAATATCTCTTTTATAATTCAAAAAAAAAAATAGAAAAGTTTTTAATCCAATTGTAATTGATTTGAATTTTAATATGTATCTTGAAATAGTGTATTTTAAAAAAAAAAAAATTAGTAACAAATTAAGTAAATTAAAATAAATATTTAATTATTATAAAATTATATAAAAGATTTACTACTACTAAAAAACGTATTTCAGACTTAGTATTTTGTTTCTTTGATTAAAAAATATTAGTGATTTTAGTGACGTATTTATCTGATTTGTTCACTGCAATTGACGAGGATAAATTAGAAGTCATTGCAATCTCAAAGTTGAGATTGACAAAATTCGAATTGTAGTTTTCACAGCCCTGGTCATCAAAGTGCTATTGTTTATATTGGCGATTTATCAAAATTATAGAAAATTATTTAATATATATTAACATCATTATTACAATTTATAAATGTGATTATTCTATTAATCAGATGGCATCAGTTTTATTTTATTTTATTTTTCAATTTTTTGTGGTGTAAAATAAGTTGGACTTATGAAATCCACTTTATGGCGATGGGGGCTTCGAAATTATTTCAGTGTGAAAAATATTACTAAAGGGATTTGAATCCTTATTAACGTGTGATAGTGCTTCTGCTTTGTGAATAATACTTTTCTAATATTTAAGAAGTATTATAAATAATCCATCATAAATGGATGTCAAAATCTGGTTTCTTACCTTAAAGAAATATAATACTTCCAGAACAGTAATATCATTGATTTGTAGGAAATCTTAATAGTGGCCCTTCAAATCCAAATTACAATCCATTGTCTAATAAGTCAACACCAATTATTTGACCATGTAAAGCTAAATAATAAAAAACATCCAATAACTGCAGAATTTTCAATCATTTCATCAGACAGATCATGTGAAAGATATTTATTAAGAAATCAACACTTTTGTCTTTGCCTTGTTATGTCACACTGTACCATGTAATGCTCTTGATCTTGATTTATCACTTTGTTTTAAACAAGTATTGTATTTATAAAAAAATTGTTTATCTAATGAAATGCAGATGTGTTTTTTTTACTTTTTTATCATAAGTTAAACAAATAATGTGATAATGACATTAATCTTTCTATTTTTATATTTTTTTCATTTCGCAAATTACATATTCAAAAAAAAAATAATTACTAAGCATTTGATAATATATTCCATTATAATGACAATAGTTTGATTGTTGCTAAATTGAGTTAATAACAATATTTAAATAGAATTTAAAAATGATAAAGATGTATCTTTATCATGTATATATTTATATTGACTGTATTGTCTTATCACAGATATAAGTACTAGTCGAACATAAAAGAATCACTATACTGAATAATAATTCCTATACTATAAATCAGTTAAAAATTAGTAACAATCAACTGTTCTATTGCATTTTATATTATAATTGGCTAAAATCAGAATTTCTTTTTAATACAGTATCACCAGTAGTTCCTGGTTTCTTGAGAACAAACTAGTTATATGACTTAATGGTTTTTTTAAAGAGTTTATAATTCTTTCTCAAAAGTAAAACTGTTGTTCAGTTATTTTAGAAGGTATTACTAATTCAATTATTCTAGAAAAAAAATCAGACCTTTTATCTAATTTATTTTAATATCTTTCAAATTCATCATTACTTTTAATATTAATATCTATTTATTAATTGTTTTTCAGTTTTATCATGATTAAGTATTATTTCAATTTCAGGATTTATAATAATAATTTATAATTAATTTCATTAATTCAAAAATAATAATATTAATATTCATTATTTCCTTATTAACTATTATATTTTTATATTTAATAATTATTTTTTATGATTTTTATTTTATATTTCCAATATTTATTATTTTATTAATTCAAATATAAGATAATTTTTACAAGTTTTTATCTTGGAGTTACAAATTATAAAATTAAATTTATTAATTTTAAATAAGTTACAAATTATCAAAATTTCAAATTATAAAATTGTAAATTAAAGAGAGCAAAATAAATTCAATTTTTTTTTATACTTTTAAACTTAATAATTTTTATTACTATATCACTCATATGGACTAATTTGACTTTACTAATTTTATCATATCATGTATATGACATAATATAATATTGTTATAATATCATTATGATATTGTTATGATTGAATAATTAATTAATAAAATAAAAAATAAAAAATATCAAAAAAATAATAAAATAAAATATCAAAAATAAATATAAACAATAACATATACAAATGTCTTCTTTGTAAACAAATTTTTTTTTCTAGAAATAAACTTTTAATACATGAAAAAAATAAACATATAAATAATAAAATAATACCTCATTGTTTTTTACTTTTTTTATCACCTATTAATTTTCTTGTTTTTTATCAAAATGTGTTTATAATACTTATTAAAAAATGACTTGACTTTAATAAACATTCTATTGGTTTAAAATAACTTTCTATTAATACTTTTTCTAAAACTATTTTTGTTTATTTATTTCAGAATGAATCAACATTTCAATATAATTCAATATTACAAAAATATTATTATCAATTTGAAAAAAAAAATAAAGAAAAAAGATTAAAACAAATATTCAATTATAAATATTGAAATTTTAAATAGAATCTAATTACAAAAACAATGGATTACATTTTATTTATCAATTATAAAAAGATTTTAACTAGTATATTATAAATTTTAATTATTATTATTAAAATATTTAGACATTAATAATTTTTTTTATTAATTGCAATTAGAATTAAAAGAAAATAATTGTACTTTTCAATGTAATATTACTACATGTACATTTATAAATAATTTTGAAAAGTTTATTAATAAGTATATATTATTTAATAAATTAATAATTTATAATTAAATTTTATTGTTTAATATTTAATATTTATTAATTATTAATTATTTTAAAAATTAATCAGGACAAAATAAATTTAAATTAAATAAGTTATTAATTATACAAAATTATAAATATATATTATCATATTCATTACTTCAACAATTATATATTAATCATGCATTAATTAATAAATAATATTTTTATTAATTAATAAATTTGTAATTATTATAAAAATTTTTATTAATAAAAATTATATACAAATTATATATATATTATATTTGATTTTCTTTATTGGAATTAATATTTTGAGCAATAATTTTTTCGAAAGTTTTAATAATTTTATAATATAATTGAATGACATTATATTATATATTATTGATTTTCATCAATTCTTTTTATAATAGTATCTTCAAAAAATAAATAAACCTATATTAAATAAATAATATTAAAAAATTTTTTTTTAAAAAAATACAAATTAATTTTATTTAATATTTGATTGTGATTTTTTTTTTCAATATTTAATATTAAAAAATATTAAAAAAATAAAAATTTTTTTTTTTTAATTGATATAAAAATTGAGAAACATGTTTGGTAAAAATATGAATATAAGATATAACATTTTTTTTATAATATAAACCTGAAATTTGAATTGAATTATTCATTATACCTTAAGTAAAATGACAAAATAATTTAATACAATTTTAAGTATCTATTTCAAATTAATTAATATCTTAATTAGTAAGATGATTTTAATGTAATATTTTATATAGTTGATAGAATTCTTTCTATAATTTTTCAATATCTTTTTTTTATATTTCAAAAATAAATTATAAAATTAAAAATTTTTCAAGCATTATTTTTTTGTCAGGATCTATAAGTGAAGTTTAACTTTATTGTTTTCCTATAAATTTTGTTTGAAAAAATTCAAAATAAATTTTAATATTTTTAAATGTTAATTTAATTACTGATATGATTTGTTTTGAAAATTTCTTTTTTCTAATTAAATCTGTAAATAAACATTCTATTAAAGTATTGAAAACTCTTAAAAGTAAATACAACTTGTCTAAAATATAATTTTCTTTATTAATTATTAGAAATATAAGTAATTTTTATTTTTACTTATTTAAAAAAAATTGATATTCTTGACCGTGATTACCTTTACTAAACACGATTAACTAACAACTGATAACAGGGAAACTATTGTCCAAAAGATCACAAAGCAAT